AACATTCTACTGACAACAATCATTCACTTGACTCTGATGATGACTTCCGCACAGGTTGTCGAAACGTCAGTCACTGCCACCGACAACAGTCCTTCTCAGGACTACACTCACCCGGACGATCAGACCATACCTTCACATGTTACCCCCGGGTTCAAACCATTTACCGCATTTGTTGATATATTCAAATTATTTCGTTACCCCCACCGACGCAGCCCCAAACAGTTTCTTTAGAAACTATCAGCCTTTATCTATTTGTCTGATAATCGATGAGGTGGAGTAAAACAACACTTTAAATGTTATCTCCAAGTAGCAATTGTAACTGTGGATGTGAAGAATGCATCTATAAAGTAGGTTTAGTAGTATTAGTTTTACAAATAATCAGGAATTTTTTTTCCTACAGATTTTTAAAATCGGTTTTAATTAAAAAAACAAACCACAAGTTGTGTTCCTTCAATATCATATTCTAGTACTAGTTCCATAGTTATTAGTTGTAAACCACATTTTGTAGACAGTATACTTAAGTTTAGTTCCTTGTGTGAAATACTGTAACAGAGAAAGCTTAGAAGGATATGAAAATGTTGAGGAATGTAAAGCATGTTTGTTTGCATTGTGAGGATGGTGAGGATGACCACGTGAATTTGGAACGTGTCATACTAAGATTGCATTTGAAAAATGATGTTCTCTGGATATTTGAATAAATTACGTTCATTTATAAATATACTTTATGTCCGACGCTAACTCTGTTGTCCCTTTAGGACTCCTAAAAACACCACACCACCTAAGGCAAATAAAATAAAATGGAATAGATAAAGATAGAGAGAGAGGGTGTTATGTCAGGCAATAAATCTCGCCGACAAAAACCTGACCTGTTTACAACAAGGCAACTAAAAGCATAAAACCTCAAAGAATAAGGGAAGGGGGCAGGAAAGTAATATATAGAGAGGGAGGAGGGGTAGGCGTAGGGGTAAGGAGATGAGAGGGATCAATTTAACGATTGCAATTTCAGGTGTTGATATGAATTGAAATGAAATGAAAAGGCGATTCGAAAGCAAAAACGTAATACAATTGTTTCTAATTGACAGATAAACACACTGTTAGAGATCAACCGAACTGCACACAATTCAAGTCGAGTTGTCTGCAAGGACCCGGATCGATGATATTATTTCCTTTTTCTTTTTTCGTTAATTAATATTGTTTAAAATATCCATTTTGAAAAGTGAGTAATAACAGAAGCGCATCTGGCATCGGGTCACAACCAATGCCTATGTAGCAATTCTTCCCAGTCTCCTTCAGAAGCGCTCTCGCTTTGTGATGCCATCACAACGTGTCTAGCTTCTCAAGCCAGCCCAGCGTCACGAGCCATTTTGTAGAAGATTCCCTGTTGAGTCAACAGTGCTTGTGGAGTGTCAAACTCCATCATAAAACCTTTATCCAGCACCATGATCCTACAAGAGAAAACAGGGAACTCAAACATCACTATTAAGATCTCTTCCCTTAAGAAGAGAAAATGTAACACATAAATTATGGTTTTCATCCAAATGATCTGCGACTTGAAGATTCCCATTTCCTGTGTATCACCTTGATGGGAGGAAACCGAAAAAGCCATAGGCAAGAAATGAGAATTCAGCTGAATTTCCATGAAGCAATCTACAATATTAACCACTGAATAAGCCTGGTGCATCATGCATGCACGCAGCTTCTGACGATCCTAGAGTAAGAACTGTGAAGAGTAGGCACGGTTAAATACCCCCTATTGTCACACCTGCCAAAACTGGGCATCAATAGTCCCTTTTCCAGTTATGGGCTTGGTGGCCAAGCCCACAACTGTAAAAAGGACTATTGGAGTGTCAGTGTGCTGTTTACAAGGCAGTTGGTATCTGTCAAGATACTATAGCTGTGGTTGAAAATCTCCTCTTCTAGACTAGACTAGAACCCAAGGGAGTTGGCCAGCGAGCGAGTTTTTCCAATACGTCTCCCTTCATCATTTCACTCCCGAAAAAAGTTCCATCCTTACGGCATCAAGATATGAGAAGACAAGTGGCGGGGGCAAAGAGAAATATCAACTGGGGAGTATTGTACCTTGTATAGTCCATGATGGTGTTGAGCCTGTGAGCAATGGTGAACACTGTGCGGTCGGCGAACTCTTGCCGCATCGTCTGCTGGATGAGTTCATCAGTTTCCAGGTCCACTGCGGCCGTGGCTTCGTCTAGAACCAAGATCTTACTTTTACGGAGCAGCGCACGCGCTAAGCACACCAATTGCCGCTGACCAACACTGAAAGAATGACACAAATTGCCGAATATCGAAGGATATTAAGAAAAGCTGATCTGAAAAATCCCAACATTTCTGCTGAGTGCTGAACTCCAGATACAGTAAGGTTTGTGTACACGAAGATACAAAAATCACTTCCATATCAAAGGCTTTAGACTTTACTTCGTTTTTAAGCAGTGGACTTGAGAAATGGAAATAGCCTTTTTCTTAACTGAGAGAAACGGAAGACAGGCTCAGAAAATATGACATAGCTTGTAGTTTTAAAACTCAGCCACAAAGGCAAAAGAGACATGCCGATGTTCGTAGGGTCGGAGATAACTCTTCCTCGGAATTTCAGGCGTTGTTCGAATCTGTCATTCTAGGTTTATATTTACCAATTATTGCGGCCGCTGGTTGCTTTGCCTTCGGCCAGTAAGTTTCCCAGGATCCCATGGGGGCGGAAAGTGAGCACAAGGTCGAAGAAAGAAAGTGGTGTTGATCTTTAGCAAAGCAAAGTTTATGTTTATTGGACTCAACACCAATTGTGTCAAACTAAATACCTCAAATTTTCGCCTCCTTCAGTCACGGGATGTAAAAGACCCTCTGCCAGTCCTGACACAAAGTTCTTCAAGTGACTCATCTCTAAAATTGTCCAAAGCTCCTCGTCCGTGTGACTGTCAAACGGATCCAAATTGACACGTAATGTTCCAGAAAACAGCACTGGATCCTTCAGTAAACAACAACAAAATCAGAAAAAAACTGTGATTTAACCATAACTGAATTATACTTCATTTACAATAACAATAAGAGTGATAATGGTTATGATGACATCACCGATGAAGATGACGTCATCGATGATGTCATTTATTACGATAACGTTCTTGATGACAATAAAGATAACGAAGGGGATGCTAACGATAGTCAGTGCGTAGCAGAAAATGTAATTTAAGGATCCTGGCTTCTAATGTAACAGTTTCTATTTTCCGGAAAGTCCTACTGTACAACCGAAATTCCTCAAGAAACAATCAGCAATCTATTTAACAAATATTTCATCAGTGATATCAAAGCAAGAGATCACAACGCAATCCCTTGTGTCAAAGCCTCAATAGCTTGTCACCCTCAACTTTTGTCAACATAGCGACATAGGTTCATTGCTCTACGCTCGCTATGCAGGGCTCTATATAATACCCAAATATATTTGCCTACCTGTGGAATAATAGTGAGCCGTGACCGCAGATCCTGAAGTCCAATCTTGGCGATATCCACACCATCGATGACAATCCTTCCACCTGCTCTCTCAAGAATACGAAACAAGGCTAAAGTAAGAGTTGACTTGCCTGCACCTGTGCGCCCAACGATGCCGACCTGAAATGTAAGTAAACATCGTAAGTAAAAACGAAAGAAAGGTTTCCGTGATAAGTGCAGTTGTCACGGGAAATCTTGTCTCGATAGTATTAGCGGAAAAAAAAAAGGGAAAAAAATGGCAACCGGAAATTATTGAAGGATGAAGGCTTTCTATTGACCCCTTCTCCGTTTTCTCGCGATCTCAATTAAATAGTAAATGAAAATAAAACACTTTTTGTGTTAAAGTAAATAACGCTAATTCACTCCGTGTGTATGATACATTTGCTGCGTGTTTATGATATCTCCACCGGGATACAAAAAGATCGCAAACCATTAGCTATGAAACTGTCGAATTTCTCGGTACATATATGCTGTCCTCCTTTAGTTGGACAGCATGTTATTAACACACCTTCTCTCCAGGTTTAATATCACAGTTGATCTGTTTCAGCACAAGAGGTAAACCATCTCTGTATTTTAAGTCAAACTCTTCTATGACGATGTTTCCCGCCTCGGGCCATTCCTCTGGGGGTCGATTATCTGGAACAATCCACTCAGCCTGAAAAAGCATCCATACCATAACGCAACAGTATATAGAAACACATCCAAGTAAAGATATGATACTCGAGGGTGAGGTACAATTTTGAAATTTTCATGATCCGTTTGGTCACTTTATTGAACGTTTTAATACCAGACGAAACATAGCCATGATTATCTTCGATAAAACAGTAGGAAAATTTTACACAAGGCAGGGAGCTCTTCCCCCAACAGTTAAAAGATCAACCAAACCTCAGTCGGCGTCTCTGAGTATTCCTTGACTCGTTCCACCGATACAATGTTCGTCTCCAGGTCACTGCTCATTCGTACCATCCAGTTAAGCGTTTGGGTAACCTTGTAACATGAAAAGCGTGCTACTGTTTAAAGATTTTTAAAAATCTTTTTTAAGAATTTTTTTTTTTAGCTGGACAATTTTAAAATGTATGAAAGCGATCCTCGCAGTAAAAAACCCTACTTTTGTAGTAGTGGAAACAAGGCCTGAAAAAATTTAAGGCCCGTAAGGGATTTGAGCCCATGACCTTTGCGATAGCGGTGCAAAGTTCTACCAACTAGTCTAACAAGCCAACTGAGAGATGATCGTTATGTTGGTTCGTATTAAACCCGTCGAAGTGATAAAAATCAATGAATTTTGAACTTATGAAAATCCTATTGTTCAGTTTCTTATTTAGTTTTGTATCTTAAAATTTCTACTTGACCCAGAGTTGATTTGCTTCGATACGTTTGTTTGGTTCAAGCAGATCACTACTTTCGCTAGTTCCCAAAACCTGCATGGAAACAAGCGACCAATAAGGTGCTAATCGGAAAACTCAAATAAAAGACAAACCAACTGCCAGAGACGCTGGATAGATAGCACTGCATGAGGATTCCAGAACAGTACAGCAGCACTTCAGGACATTCGCTTTAGAATTGTTCACATGAAACGATTGCAAAACAATCAGATATCAATGGCCACTATTGTCACTTTTTTATGATTTAGCACAACGACAGTCAACTAACCACTAACCTGCAAGGCATACGTAACGGACAAGCCGACGAGACCGCTTTGTAAAGAATTGCGGCTCACGACAGCGAAAACAGCGGCGAAAAAGATGATCAAGTTACCAATAAAATCCAGACGAATAGCGAGCCACCTGAAACGAAATATTTAAATAAATTCACGTGGATTACTGGAGAGAGGGAGGGAGGTAGTGATTGATTCACTGTGTGAATAAACAGATGAATAGATTGAGGAATGAGTGAAATAATGAAGAAGGGAATTTTATTACAACCATCGCTTTCTTTCAGATAAATAAGAACTAAAAGTTTTCATCGAAAAAAAGGGAAAGTGGTTCGGATTGAAAAATTAGCATAGAACACTCGAAAACCACAAAGTCCTGACATGAAAAACGGTCTAGGAAGTTCTTACTATACTTCGGCCATCACCATAGTTACCTGTTAGATGATATTGAAGGGTAGTAGGACACTTGGTTCTCATCTACAATGGCGTAGCTGCCTTGTATGAAGCGTTGCTGCTGAGCAAAGGCTCGGATGGTGGAGGTTCCGTTAATGGTCTCCAGGAAATTGTTGTATATTGGTGATCGACTGACAGACTCAATTCTCTTCAGCTGACGTGAACTTGCCACGTATATTCTCTGCAAAAAGTAGAACAGTTTACTTTTACTTAACAACTGTTCGCCAAAATGGAGGTGGCTGGTGGTGCTACTTAGTCACTGACACTGAGGTGAATAGTTTTTTAGTACAAACTAAAACAGTGAGATAACAATACTGACATTGCGAAAAAAGATGATTTAACTCCTTTATTCCTACAACGATTACAACATTTTCGGGCGCAAATCCCGCAAGAGATGAATACCAAAGGATATTCGGAGTTCGAGTGGCCAATTAGTACGCGCCTTCAACGCTATTCACTGTTTTAGTATATACTAGTATATTCACTGTTTAAGTATATACTAAACAATACCATTTCTTAGGATATCTCCAAAAGGATTGAAACCCGACTTCAACTGAAAGTTGTAACGTCTGGTTGTTTTGTTTTTGTTTTATTTTTAATCCAGCGAAGAATACAAAATAACTGATTACAATATTTCAATTGCTTGGTAACCCGGTTGCATCCCCGAGATGTTTTCCTGAGATGTATGGGAATGTTTCCCATATTCCTTACAGACTAGTGATTACGATAAAGGTGATGCCAGTTTACGAGCCGTAGGGATTATCTCCCGTAGCGCTTCGTAAGTTTTCCCTCACAGTTTTCCGACAACAAGTTACACTTCTGGGATGGAAGAGGCACCGTAAAGGTATGATGTCCCACCACAGAACATAACACAATAACCTGTGACACACCTGTATGAAAACATAAAGCACTCCCAGAGGGACAATGATAACCAAAAATATTGGTGTGGCGAAGCTTATCGTGAATATAGAGGCGATGACGGCGAAGAACGTCCTCAGGAACGATGAAACGCTCCTAGGCACCATATCATCAATGCCACTGATGTCCTTAGAGAAGCGGTTCATGATTCTTCCCTGTGGGGTGGTCTCAAAGAAAGACATAGGTGAGCGCATAATGTTGTCCAGCATTCTTTGATGAAGATGACGGGACGCTATTATCGTTCCAGTCGCCAGAGCCAAAGCTTGCAACAGCACTAACACGCACTGGGACACGCCTAAGGCACTGTAAACACCAAGAAAAAGATCGCGTTCGTCATCTGAGGTTACATCTGTGGAGCTCCACCTGGCGAGCCAAATACCCGAAGAGACCGAGGCAGCTTCTGCCAAAATTAAGAAAAGTACGACGCAAATGGAGAGGGCAACTGTGAGGGACTTTGCGTAAGCCCAGAACACTTTCATTTTCACCTGAAAAAAAAAGAATGTTAAGATTTATTACCTCCAGCGAAAACTTGGTTTATCATGTAGATCTTCAAAGGTTTTATTCTAAATTCAAGACTTTTTCCCGACTTTTTCGAAACCATGACAATTTATGACAAGGCGATTATCGAGTCTTCTTACGTTGGAAATACTCCGATAGTACTCGCAAAACGCTGGGCCAAATGATCTACTTAAATTCAGCTAACGGCTTACATGTTAACATCTTCTTTGCCGTAAAATTAAGATCATGTGAAGTTTCCTTTGGGATAATAACATGTCAGCCTAATTCGTCTTTTCTACAAGAACTTTATCTCTTTTTAATACTCTTTCCAGATATTATTGACAAGTTTGCAATTCTCTTCAAACTCGAAGAGAATTGCAAACTTCCACAACGAAACCAGTCACTAGACATTTTAAATTACCTAATCATTCTAAGCAACATATGGCAATCCGCGGTCTTTCCTTACACTTAGGTAGCACTGAAAGCTGTAAAAATCTTGAACAAAAGCTAATCTTTAAAACCGGCAGTCTAAATCCCGCAGGGATCAACGAACGCTTTTCATTCCACTAATTTACTCTTGTTTTTCTCGGTTCCATGTTCCCACCAATAACGCAGCTCCATTTTCTGCCTTTAAAAGGTTATTAACCTCGCTCTGTTTTTCAAACAAGTGTATTTACTTCTTCCTTAGTCAATAACACAGGCAGGGGTTGGAGGGCTGATCTTTCTTTAAAAATAAAAGATGGAAAAAGGAAACAGCAACTCACTCGTTTAAAGCTGGTTTGCTGCTCTTGTCCCAGCTGAATGTTCCATTGTCAACGTGGATGTCTTGTGTGCTAACTACAAATTATGAATCGCACAAGGAGTTACAAAAATCAAAATAACAATGTGGACATGACTATAAAAAGGGCAATTTTAGTGGTGACTGCCTCCGACGAAGGGCTAACGCTCGAAACGTCAGCTTTTGTAATCGTTACGGTGGCCAATTTACCATTTCAACTTTGTTGCTATATCCAAACTATTTCGTTACTCCCACCGACGCAGCCCCAAACAGTTTCTTTCGAAACTATCAGCCTTTCTTCAAACTCTGTTTGAAGCCTGTGTATAATCATTTGTTTCCTTTGACCTTAATGTGTCCTTCTTTAGCAAATCAAGTTGATGCCAAAAGAATCATCTGAACATAAATCTTACCCTTCCAGTTTGAGATTTCTCTTCTTCAATCATCCTGTCAGCCTGCTCTTGATCTGGTCTTGTAAACTGACAGTCTAAATCTGCAGTGTCCACCGTGATCACCGACATACTCTCTGCTCGTTTCAGACGTTGGACGTCTGGACGAGTACTATGACTTTCAAGTCTCTCGAGGCTCATTCTTGAACCTGAATGTCCATCTATTTCCTCAATGTCTTCGATAACTATCTCTGGAGTAGGGTCTTCGGCTATACCGAGAAAACAAATGAAATTAATTGTTTCCATCCTGTTGATGCATAATTGTATAGTCATAGAAATTTTGTCCATAGATATGGTGGCCTATTTCAATAACAAACTCTCTGAGGCTCAACTGGAAGAGCGTCTGATAAAAAAAAAACAGAAAGTCTTAGTTTAAATCCTAAGAAAGGACGTTTTTTTTGTCACAAAGTTGCGACAAATCTCTAAAATCTCCTTTTAAAATGAGTTGAGTGGTTGACATTCTGACGTTTTTCGGGACTTAAGCGTTTCTTCCAGTTCAAAATCGCGAGGGGGAGGGTCGAGAAAAAGGAGGCGAAAGCAAAGCGAACTGGGAAAGAGAAGAAGGCAAGAGAAGAGAGAGGGAAGGTAAAGAGAGGAGAGAGGGAAGGCAAAGGATATGATACAGAGGTCACAAGAATAGAAGGGCAAGAACATGGTGTGGGAGTGAAGAACGAGAAGAAAGAGGAGAAAGAGGAGAAAGAGGAGAAAGAGGAGAAAGAGGAGAAAGAGGAGAAAGAGGAGAAAGAGGAGATGATGAACAAGGAAAAGAAGGAAAAGGACGAGCACGAGCAGGGTCTGGGTCTGGGTCTGCGGCAGCTGAGTACAGGAAGAAGAATGTAGAAGTAGAGGACGGGTAGAAGGATCATAACAACCACAGCTCGGCGTTTTACCCACCATACTCAAGCTTGGTCTGTTCCTCCGTGGCATATGTCTTCAAAAACTCGGCAAAAGCGCCCTTGTTCTTAATCAGCTCGGTATAAGTGCCGACCTGCGTAAACAGAATGTTCAGTTGCTGTAGTCATCTGTCACTCTACTGCGAAGCCCACATGACTCAAAATTTGTGATATCCATCGTATGAAGGCGCTGGAAGATGTTAGAAAACATACAAAAAAACAAACAAACCTCTGATATTCTGCCATCTTGTAAGACAATGATCTGATCCACTTGGGGAAGGAAGGCAATCCCGTGTGTGACAAGGATACGTGTCTAGTGAAGGCGACAACACGAACATAGAATTTGATTACATTTAAAGGAGAGGGAATCTTTTGAACATTCTGTCCTTTCCTTTCGATACTTGCCACTGGTTAGAAAGATAAGTCTGCTACGAAAGTATAGGTTTTATCGGAGTTCGATTTCACTTATTTCACCCATAAAGCCATCCAGTCACTAGATCTACTTGAAATGACTTGAAATGATTACTATAATTTTTTAATAAGTCCACGCTACCACAATGTTTGGTATAGATCGTCTTCATGATGGCGGGTATGATACCTGCGTGTATACAAATTTGCTATCTTGCCCCACACCCCCATCTTACTCCTCTCTCCCTCCCCTCCCATTTCGGAGGGAACTTACAAAAACAGCCACAACACACAACATAATTGTTTTTCTTTAAATCATGTAACTTTTTTAGCCTTTTAAGTCAAGATCTGTCTCTATAAAACCGGGGTACACTAAGTGCATTTCGGTAAAATATCTCTTGAAACACCCTTCCAGAGATCTCCTCCCTTAAAAACACAAGAAAAAGAAACATAGAAACAAACAAACAATGAACAAATAAACTTACAAGGCAACTATCTGACAGACTCGCTCGCTTACCAACTAACCACTGCACGTACTGGTCAGCTACCTAGCTAACAAACCACTTTAAGTAACTAAGCCTTTACCACGCCATTTTGGTCTCACACTCACACAGTGACGCAAAATGAACTGACCTTCTTTCTAAGCTTCCCCCTTGGACCTATGACCTTATCAAATATGTGTTTTCCAACATGTGAGTCCACAGCACTGAGTGGATCGTCCAACAAGTAGATATCAGCATTGAAGTAAACAGCACGGGCCAGGCTTACACGCTGTTTCTGTCCACCACTAAGGTTTATGCCCTAAAAAATGAGAGCAGTCTGCATTTTTATTGTTTTTTTTGTTGGCGAGAGTGAATAAGCCTGCTTGTAGGCCGTATTTTGAGTTTGCAGGTGCGAGAATCAGCGGGGTGAACTCTCGGTCGCCATATTGGACGGGTGGAAGATTTGGGACGAGTGACAAAGTGAAGGGGAGGGGCAAAGGGGAGGGGCAAAGGGGAGGGGCGAAGGGGAGAAAGACCGCGGTTTTTCTGGTTATACTCCCATTCCCCCCTTCCCCTCGCTTTGACACTCGTCCCAAATCTTCCACCCGTCTAATATGGCGACCGCAATGAATCTCTCGCTTGAAAACACAAACTATCGCTGCAAGCAGGCTAAGAGTAAACTGAAAAGCGCATGAATGTCTTCCACTCATTTCAGTGGCACACTTTACAACGACTACGTAGTAAACTAAAACATGTGAAAGAAAACAATTCATGTACAGAGAGTCTATTATCACAAGAAATAATAAAAGTCTCGATAATAAAAGAAAGCCATGTTTACGACTTTAAGTAATGTGGCTAGAAAAACGTTTTGTTAATTTTACCCTTTCGCCAATCTCAGTGAGATCTCCACCGGGCAGGATGTCGAGGTCAGTCTGTAGTGCACACGTGTAGATTGTCTTAGCGTAACGTTTGGATTCAAAAGTTCTTCCAAATAAAATGTTCTCCCTTAGGGTTGCATTCTGGATCCATGCTTGTTGAGGTACATAGGCCACTGATCCCTAAAGAACAAAGCAACGTTTACAATATGCACTGATGCACTGGTCGAATTTAGATTCCTGTAAAACATAACATGACAATCAATCGAGAATTTTCTTTTTTGCCCAACTTCTCGCGCCTTAAATTATTGGGAAACATGTCAGTCTGTAACTTACAATACGGACTTGGAACTCAGTTGAAAAGATGTATATATCCACCTTGACATATACTCTTCCATCCACTTTCTCAGTTTCCCCGAGAAGAGCTGAGAGCAGAGTAGATTTTCCACAGCCAACTTGACCAACTACGGCAACCAAAGAACCACTCGGAATGTTGACATTAATTCTGTGAGAAAAACAACAACAGATTCAAAATAAGTAATGATATTTACTATAAAGCTGGCTCAGCGAGCGGCTGAGATAGAGCAAATCCTGTTTTCTGACCGCTTACCGGAGGCATTTCATCTTGCTAGTTTAGGATTGCCCGTTTTGATCCCGTGAATACAAAAAAGAAAAAAAAAAAATGTGTTTGTGGCCGATTTTCAAACTTCGTAAAATCTCGGCAAATGTTTGTTTTCTGGCAGTTTTGGCAAAAAAATAGCACCAAAAACGCAACCACGAGGGTTTTTTGAATTTACTCTGCAATTTTTGGGTACGTAAACGTTTTGCTACATAACAATCCCTGTCCTTAGCAGGGTTTTTCTGGTCAAGTTCGCAACTTATTAACCTCGCTCTGTTTTTCAAACAAGTGTATTTACTTCTTCCTTAGTCAATAACACAGGCAGGGGTTGGAGGGCTGATCTTTCTTTAAAAATAAAAGATGGAAAAAGGAAACAGCAACTCACTCGTTTAAAGCTGGTTTGCTGCTCTTGTCCCAGCTGAATGTTCCATTGTCAACGTGGATGTCTTGTGTGCTAACTACAAATTATGAATCGCACAAGGAGTTACAAAAATCAAAATAACAATGTGGACATGACTATAAAAAGGGCAATTTTAGTGGTGACTGCCTCCGACGAAGGGCTAACGCTCGAAACGTCAGCTTTTGTAATCGTTACGGTGGCCAATTTACCATTTCAGCTTTGTTGATATATCCAAAATATTCTGCAACACTACCTTCTAGCATCTTTATGCAATCTCTAGTTCTCTTCAAAGCTATAAAGAGTGTGCCCTACCAATAGCCACATGCAGTCTTTCACCGTCTATTCTTAAGTTATTTAATCCGGGTCTAGCTGGTTTCGGTAAAGCTTTACCCCACAGGACAAGAAAACTCGCGCCTCCATCCCTTGGTCCTCTTATGCTACAGAGACCGAGATCAGTTTTAGCGGGATGTGCCACTCGGCTCGATTTCTGACTTTACGTTTACCTTTTACGACACTTATCCGAGTAGCGCTCTAAAGATTGTTAACACTCACTGTGTTCCGGCATGGTCTTCACCACATTCTCTGAATCAAGTTCCGCCAGGAAAAGGAATTCTGTCAGGCGCACGATGGAAACTCGTGCCTAGCGATGCAGGAAATGAATCAATCAACACTGAACAACAACTACACCCACAATAGCAATGGTAAAGATTGCGATTCTGTTGACCACATCGCGTGACTTTGAAAGAAACGACGTTGCTGGCGACATTTATGGGGGTTCACGGGAACTCTTAAGGCTTAAACACCTCACGACAAAACGGGAAATGCTTCTCTCACTTTACCCGGCCTCTGACCACTGAAGCTCTATTGAAAAGCACTAGTTCTTGGCAAATGATAGCCTAACACAGATCGCAAGACTGGGAATTTCCTAGCTATGGCAATTAAAACAGATGCGACTTAAAGCACTGCTACTGTAAACTCCAAAGGAAAGTTTATCAGCAGATAAAAGACAACAATTTGAGCAAATATCTAAATACCTGGATCAAGCTGATGATCACATTTGGAAACATGACGAGCGGAAAGCGTAAAATGTTGAAGAGTGAAATTGCAACAAAAGCTTTAGATGCAGTCAGTTCATTGCCAGTCATTACATAGATGGCAAAGGTAGCTAGGGAAACCTGAAAAGCGAAATAGTGCAAAGTAAGTAAAAGTGATATAAGCCCTTCGGAGCGCGGTTTGGTTTTTGGGCGTGCATTTCTCATGATAACTGAAATATTCGCCGGGCTTAGTGTCACGCTTGAAAACGCAACCTACAGTGTAACGCCTGCAAGCAGGTGAACAAGAGGAATGTCCTCGTGGAATGTCCGCTACATGTACTTTCATTGTATCATTAGGGGCTTTAAGCAAACCACAACGGCTACGGCAACGAGAACGTGGAAAAACAATAGATCTAATTGGCAGAACAATAGCCCAGCACGTGCGTTTTAAAACTTTGTACATTTCTTAGCCGTCCTTTGCAAAACAACAACGTGAAATCACCAAAATCTGCGTCGTCTGCGAAGCGAAACCGCGGAAGCAAATTATTTTAATTTACATTTGGAACTCAACGCTGCTTTTATGCGTAATGTTGAGTTTGAGGTCTGGCGCCCTATGAGACGGTAAACACATGCAGCCATTTTGGAAATTCTAACTAAAAGTAGAAACTCATTTTTTAATCGACGTCATGAGTGGCGTTGCCGTCGTGACTGCTTAAAGTCCCTAATATTATCATTGTTATTTTTATCGTTACCTCTTGTGTATTACTCACCAGAAATGGTGCGCAAGTGAAAGTAAAGGCGAATGACGCATTCAGGTAAGAGAAATTCCTCAAATGACGCAGCTCCGTTTTCCGCACTTTAGAAACCATTTCCATAAATGACGTTTCCCAAGCATAAAGTTTGAGGACCTAGGGGGAAAAATTGGGTTAATAAATTTGACTATACAAGTCACAAAATTGGTTTAAAATAGACACGCATTGTTGCGGGTACATTGTTTAACGCTTGAGCAAAATTGTTAAATCTCGAACCGAAGTCGAGCTGTTTACTACATTTATGATCGTTCTCTCGACAAACTTAGTGGTTTATATAGCCGTTAAACTGATAGAAACTGCGGTTTTTTGTTTTAAACAAATAGCTACAGCTTTATCAGTGTAATAAACGAACGAATCAGAGTGCGCATAATACCTTGGTTATTCTATAAACTTTTCCTATGACATTTCCTCATGTTTACGTAAGAAACTGCGATCTGCTCTCTTTGCGGAAAATTTGCACAGTTTTGCGTAATTACCGAATATTTTCCTCGACTTCGAGATGCACGAATTTGATCATCGCGGCAACTGGGAACGTTAAAAATGCCTGAACATGCACGGAAAACAACAGCCACAAGTGCAGAGGTTTCATTAATGCTTTTAGCAGAAGGGCGACTGGTTTTCACAGACGGGCAAAACTTTATAGCTGAACTTCTTCATCAAACAAACTTTCCTCTTGATGGGCAAAACCTTCCTCACGACTGGTCAATTTGACCGGTGCTCACCCCCCCACCCCTTCAATAAAACCCCTGCACTAGTGTAACATTTTTAGTCATCACTTCAAATTTAGGAGTGACTCTCTACTTGTCTACCTTAATTCCATTTAAAATCTCATTCATCATTTTGATTCGTTTATCCTTGGCTCCCATTTGTTTCACCTGCAAAAAGAAACGAATACAGAGGAAGTTAACCTTTAGATAAAGCTACACTGTAAAATTGTATCCAAAAAAAAAAAAAAAAGAAACAAGAATAGCCCCATTTCATGTGATAATATATATGGGTTATTGACCAAGCATGACGTCAAGATGGCTGGATATCGGTCGCGTACTGTACCTGAAGCTTTCGCGAAAGTCGCGACACAAGAACATTGGAAGGTATCAGTAGCAGCATAACGCCAACACCAGCAAGAATTGATGGGCCCATTGTATTGTACAAGAAATACAACGATACAATAATTTGAAGTGGACCAGACCACAAGATGTTCACGTAGGTAAGGAGATCCATTAGTCGCTGTGCATCAACCGACATAAGGTTCACCATTTCTCCCGCGGTTGATTCTTTACGTGAGGTGTTGTTCAGGAGGAGTGCCTAAAAGGTAAGACAAGAAAATGTTAGGAGCCGGGAAATTTTGGGGTTGGTGAGGTTAGTCAACAGAAAGAAAGAAAGGCTCATCTGGAAAGGCTCATCTAGAAAGGCTCACCTAGAAAGGCTCATCTAGAAAGGCTCATCTAGAAAGGCTCATCTAGAAAGGCTCATCTAGAAAGGCTCATCTAGAAAGGCTCATCTAGAAAGGCTCATCTAGAAAGGCTCATCTAGAAAGGCTCATCTAGAAAGGCTCATCTAGAAAGGCTCATCTAGAAAGGCTCATCTAGAAAGGCTCATCTAGAAAGGCTCATCTAGAAAGGCTCATNTAACTTTCTTTTCGCTCGACCTATCCCCAGCTGTATTCTTATTGTAATTATAGTTTGTAGATATACCTTGTAAGAATATTTTTATAAGTGTAAATAGAGGATATTACATGGCCGCTTGGGGATACGAATTTTATCTTCGAGTGCTGAAAGTATCTCTCACTCGTTCGCTGCGCTCACTCGTGAGAGACACTTTCAGCACGATAGTAAAAGATACTTTCAGCAACAATAGTAAAAACTAACAATAGTGTTTACTATTGTTAGTCTTATTCATACCTACACTGTCTTATACTTCCTTTCTTTACATGTATTTTGTTACTTAACTTTGTTTTATAAATGTAGTTTGAGGGCCACTAGTTACTCAGTTGAAGCACTGACCCGTGTTACCCTCGTTAAATAAAGTTGATAATTAATAATAATAATAATAATAATAATAATAATAATAATAACAAAAGTAGCTTTTGGGTTCTTATACTCATAGTTGCGCGTTGCTTCTAAAACCGTAATAAGTACCAGCTGAATGGGTTTTGTGACTCATAAGCTGATTTCATTTTAACTTCACATAACATGGATATCACTTCATACTTATGTGCCCATTTTTTACAACAGGTATTTGCGAGTGGTGACACGAGGTGTGCGTGCTTGGCGCGAGTAATACGCGGGAACTACACGCGAGTCACGCACGTGCAATTCTGCAATACACATAAGTGGTACAGTACCTTTGAATACACCATGCCTATAACAGCTGTTCTAATCTTCATCCCAAGCACTGTGACGATGTGAAAGTACTGCTGGAGGCAAATAGACTGCACTAATGCAACTACAAACATGCTGACGCCATAGACGTACCCACGCCATGTTTCAGTGTTATCTTTATCTTCAATAAAACCTATTAACAACCTGAAATGAATGAATAGATAATAATTTTCATGGGTTGACAAATGACAGTTCATTTTTAAGCCACAGCTTAATGCTACTGGACTGCAATTTTCCATTGTCCTAATTTTTCAAAAATGCTTTTAACCCCCTTACTGCCAAGATATGATTATTAATAACAAATTTCCCTGTATATTAGCAGGGCTCGAGACTAACTTTTCAACCTATTAGTAAAGTGGGTAGCGTCATATTAGATGTTATGACAATGCCAGTTTGCTTAAACTAGCCAAACTGGCTAGTGGAAATCGAAATCCACAAGTCAAAACTGAATTTCTACTAGTCTACAGCTAGTTGGCTACCGTTAGTGCCGAGCCCTTAATTAGTTTTGAGAATTTAGAGTTAGAAAACAACTTTACTTGATAACTATGAGTATATTCTCATTACACGTTTGCTGGAGAATGTATGGATATTGTAGGGAAAACTTACAAGTTAATCACTTCCGGGAGTTAACGGGTTAAAATAAGATCATTTCTTAATATTTCTCCTCTAAAAATAGGAAAAAAAAAGGTTATCAACTTACAGACAGCTAAATTACCTTAACAGTTCAGGTTGTACAAACTGAATGCAGTCATTAAGCACTTTAAAAACAAATGCCAGTAGAAGTTTATCCCAGTAAAGCGCAAACATGATTCTTGTTAGGCATGGTCTCTTTTCTTTGTTTTTCTTCTCGGAGGAAAACTTGACATCTTCTTCAGCATCATTTGGTTTTAGCTCAGCTTTTTCATTGTCAGTGGGCTCTGTGGTTTGAGAACTTTCTGAAGCTCTGAAGCAAAACGTTTTTCGTTATTATAAATCTCTTTGTGAGATAAACCATGATAATTTTATCACTTTCGCTGATTGTGAAAAGTAATCTGCACTTCTTACATTAGTTTTGCATTGTTCTGCTTTGTTATTGGTCAGCAAAACTTACGTGCCCTCTCAGCCAATCAGATGCAAAACTAAAAGCAAGCAGGACTGAGTCACTCTTAATTTCCGGCCCTTCAGGATTTATTGTTAGCCTATTTTATCGGCAGAGTTTCCAACGGCTCACTGTGACAACTTCCTCAGAGTTTGTTCTGAAAGCCCATCCCAATTATCATAATTATTCGATTTAGCACCCTCTGCGCTAAACAAAATTTTTTTGACCTTCAGAGGTGACCTCAAGGTAGGTGCCTGTTCAATTTTTCCCATTTTCAGAAAATACTAATTGCAACAAAATTAATGATAACTACCCATAAGAAAACGTGAAAAAGTACCACAGGCAGTAAAATTAAATAAATTTAAACCGGTAAAACTATTTTTTTTTTGGGGGGGGGGAGGGGAGAAGAGGGAAGCAGGATTATTTTCAAGGATGGGTGCTTTTTGACTTTTCCTTTCTACAAGGGTGCCTATTTGAGGTGGACATTTTATTAATTAAATACTGACAGTACTTTGGTTTTGGGTATCATAACACTCTTTCGAAACAAACCATGACTGTCACAGTAGCTACAAATTTATTGTCAACAGTTCTGCTACTCTTAAGCTGAAAACGAGACAAGGTTCCAGATCTCGTTACATGTACTTATCAATTTGCAGATCACCTTATAGAGCTTTCTGCTTCCTTCCACTTTTTGAGAAAAGGTGGAACAACTGCTGATGATCTGTTAGTTTTGTTCAGAGCCCATAAATCTGCATCTGTCAGAGGCCTCTTGAAACCTTTAAAAATCAAACTAGCAGGAATGTGTTAGAATTGGAGGAATTTCTCCAACACTCATTTAATTATCACCTTATCTAAAAAATAAAACCGCCTCCCGGTTAGCTCAATTGGTAGAGTGCTGGACTGTTGTGCGGGAGGTCGTGAGTTCAAATCCAGCCGGACCAACACTCAGGGTCTTTAATTAACTGAGAAGAAAGTGCTGCCTTTGTAATAATATCTGCAAATGGTTAGACTTTCTAGTCTTCTTGGATAGGC